CACACACACACACACAGAAACTCCTCTCCCTCACATTACAGTGACAGCTTCAGGTCACTTCATGTTTTCTGTCTTTACCAAACGAATGTCACTTCCTACTCGACAGATTTTAAACTGGCTGGATTAAAAGTGGAAGGATCTCGGATGTAAATCACGCTTGTTTTCACATCTTAACATCTAATTAACATCTTTAGTCTGTTGCTCAGTCTGTGAAAATAAAAACTCTGCCAAGTGTTGGCAAGATGATTTAAACTTGTTTCTAATGTTAAAAAAAGTATTTATATATACTTATATGTATTATTTTAAGAATTTAGATTAGATTAATCCTGCAGATGATGCACAGATATATATGTCGAATAAGGAAACAAGTTTAAAGAACACGTGAAGGAGCATCAAACTACTTCTTTAATATGATCTCACACACTGGTGGTAGAAAAGGAACACCAAAAAGAAATTCACAGTAACACGCCTGAAGACTGAAATTATGCTTATCAAGCTGAACTGTGAAACTTGTGCGTGAGAAAGCAGCTGTACGTGTTGAGAGAAAAAGCGGCGATGAGCAAAACTCTCACCTGAGGTCTAAAAATCATCATCTCAAGGATCAAAGAGCCCCCAGTCCATCACAGCTCTGACACACTCTGTGCCAGCTTATTAGGTTAAGGCAGAAATATCTGCTGCAGAAACAGCTAAATTACTGCAGTGGTTCCATAGAGATATTACCTCTTTCACCATCTTCAGTCCCACATCCCCTCTCCAAATAACAGTAAAATAAAATGAAAAATACACCCTGTGTTCATAATAAGCTATAAACCTCACTTCAGCCTGCAAATTCTGCCATGATCCACTGCTTTCATATAGCTGAATGGCCGAGCAACCCGGCAAGAGCTCCCAGGACTTGCTTCACGACAGACGGCTGTTTTGCGCTGCTGCTGCTCTATTGTGTTGTAGAGCAAGTTACCGAATCCATCAGGCCAACACAACAGGCCTTTCAATAATGAATAGGCTAGAGACTGAGAAGCTAATAACTCACAGTAAGGCCAGTCGCGCTGAGAGCCAATCCGCCAGCTTACAGGCTGCCATCCACAAAAGGTGCAGGCTGATATAAAAAATCAGCAAGTTTAACAAGTTGCGTAGGTTAGTTTCCCCCCAGGTACCTGCTGCTGAGATTTGCATGAGGTTGCTTTGATTCCCGCGGTGTAAAACACAAGCCTACCCAAGCTGGATTAGCAATTTAGATCATTTTAAAAAAATGTTGCTGTTGAAATATCCTAAAATCAACAGGCATGGCAGGCATTATCCTAAACCTACTGTTCAAGTTTGGTTTTACAGATTCAGCTTGGTTTTTGCTCTAATCCTGCTCTGTGAGTGGCGCCCCAGGTTTGACACAGAATTTGAGATAAAAGAAGAGAGAGGAAGAGAAGAGGATGAGTACATGACACTCATTTACAACATTATTTCTTCACTAATCCCCCAAAACCAGGACTTTACTCTTTTAAAGAAGAAATCTATAGTTTTCTTCCCCTCATCCTCTTTATCTCTCTTTAATCCTTCCTTCTCCTCCTTCTTTCCCCGCTATCTCATTCTTCGATCTCTCCTCCACTCTCACTGGACCATCTGCGTTGTGACGCATGCAGAGGACAGGTCTGATAAACCCAGCTCTGAGCTCAGCCAATCAGGTCATTTACCAAATCTCAATTGACTGCTGCTCCAGTTTCCATGGAGAAGGAACAACCAGTGAGCGGGGAGGGGGGGTGCAGAAATCAATGACTCCCCCTCGGGCCAGGCTTGGGGCCTGTGCCGGACCTGAGATTTAGCGCATAAGAGGGATAGAGCTGGAGTGGATGTTGTTGTTTTTTTAGGATTTCACAGCAGTAGAGAACTGTGGGCACTGTGCTCAATTTTTCTCTTGGCATGAAAAATATGAACATTTTCCCCGCTCTGCATGTTATTGTCCAGCCTCAGCTCAGGCTGTGTGACAACATCGTCCTCTGTGGTTTGTGTGGAGCGGAGTGCAGTGAAGCAGGCTGCAGAGGTAACAAACTGCAGCTGCTTTCTATTCTGAGACACGAAACCAGGACAGCCAAGGAGACAGTGATCAGGTCCCTGGCTGAACGCTCCACTAAAAGACTTCAAACTTGACTGCGCGCCACCAGCCCGCTCACCTGTACGTCCCTTTACCACCGTCATGCATACACAAGATAACAAGACACAGTGTGTGCATACCCCCATGTAAACACAAGGAGGGATATGGCTGCCACCTGTTGGTGATACTGCTAAAACTCACCCAGTCACCTTGCCGTTTCCCCTCCGTATTGCTGCAGCAGACTCATTTATCCTCTCTGCTGTCGGCGGATGCTCTCTTTCACCCCAGCATGACTCAGAGGCCTGGCTGCCCATTGAGCCCATTGCTACCGAGGCTCAGCCACTTATTGTAAAGCTCAAATGGATTTCATGCAGTCCAGCAGAGGAGCAGGTTTATGTGGAGAGAAATGTGCCAAAGTGCCATTACAATAAAAGAGTGCTGCTTCAGAACTTTGAATGTCCTTGAATGTGTAGAAGTGTAAAAACAATGCAGTGTGTGTGCAGGTCAACTTCAGGGACAGAATGTACTGACGTGTGGAGGTGGATTATATCTGTAAAACAACATCCTTGTTGTCCTCTCTTAAACTCAATCATTTCTCATTGATGGAAATCCAGTCCAGCAATGTGATACAACTCAAACAATCCTTGCTATATTCATTAATTATTTCAGGGACACAACTGATAATAATAAATTCAATAAATTCATTCTGCGACAAGCAGTTGAAAGCATAAGTGGATCCTTGGTGTTCAAATGTTTTGTATTTTTGCAGGTAACAGCTGATACTTCAATGATGCGTTGTGCAAAATGCTATTCAAGGAGACAGGTAGCATTGCTACGGCAGCAGCTTCAGCCAGAGAGACATAAATAACTTTAAGAGAGAACCTGCAGCACTTATCTTATTCAAGGCTGTCCAGATGTTCCGATTAATAAATGCAGCGTGTAGTTTATATATCTCAGTACACATCCAAAGTAGAGCACGGCGTAGAAATACATGTAACCTTACCACAGAATTTACTGACACCTTGCACTACTTTTGGTTTGCACGGATCTAAAAACAAAACTTCACGGGGTTATGTGCACAATACTCAGTAACTCACACAGTACATGGTTATACTCACACACACAAATCTATAGTCTTCACTCACACCTCACTGCTGCCGCTCTTCCCTCCTGTTGCCACAGCAACGCAGCACTCGTCTCCGTGTCTCATTGACAGCACATGCTCCCTTAAAAAAAAAATCCCCATCCAACAGCAGGGCGCACTCACACATACCGTCATCTACCGTATAGAAACACATGCACATCAAAAACACAGGTTTATTACTCACACCATCCAAGGTGAACCCTCCAGGGCTTCAGCAGAGATGGATGTGTAACAGTATTTAATTCAGTAAATAATGATAAGGGCTCCCATAACAAAAATAAACTGAAATAGTTTGCATCAAAATACAAATAATAAGCAAATCCAGCACTTTTATTCATTGCTTTATAAAGTAATTAACACGTGGATCATACGATTGTTTTCTCTTGTGATGCACTTGTGTTTAATGAAGCTTAAACAGACACAAACAGCCCTAACACCTACTACTTCTTACTGAAGTCCTCTATAACCATGCACTCTCATCCTCTCAAGTAAGAGGAATAAGCCCATACACAGACCGCTCAGAGTCAGTCCCGTGTTCACACAGGCAGAGGACATCAAAAACTAAATTTGTCCATACCTCACAGTTGCGTCCGGTGAAGCCTTGGCTGCACGTACAGGTGTACTCCCAGGTGTCCTCTGGCCTGCCGGCGGACGGAAGAGCCAGGCAGAAGCCCCCGTTGAGGCAGGGCCGGCCCTCGCAGGGGTCCGGACGAGGTGTGGCCTGGGTCGGGGTGGGCTCAGCTGGGGCCGGCGTGTCAGGGGCCAGCTGGAAGGGAGAGGGGACGGCCCCGATGCTGCTGCCGCTGCTGCTGCTCAGGACCAAGAGGAGGAGAAGCAGGGGGGGCGTGAAGATCCTTGCAATCTGTGTGGGACGGCAGCAGGGAACCGCTGGCACACTGCACACACTCAACCTCATCCTCTTACTCTGGTTTCTTTTCTTCTTCTTCTTTGTTGTGTGTGTGTGCGAGTCTTTTTCTTCTTTCCTCAGAGCTCAAGCTGCTGCTGTTCGTTCTGGCTGGGCTCAGCAACAACTGAGAGGTGTGTGTGTGTGTGTTGTGTGTGTGAGAGTAGAGAGAGAGAGAGGAGAGAGGAGAGGAGAGAGAGATGATGAGAGGAGAGAGAGAGAGATAGAGAGAGATGAGGAGAGAGGAAAGGAGTGAGACGACGAGGAATGGATGAGAGAGGAGAGAGAAGGAAGATGGAGAGGAGTGGAGGGTGAGAGGTAGGAGCGTAGGTTCTTAGGGAGGGGTAGGTGGGTGAGGAGGGAGGGAGTGAGGAGGAGGAGGCTGTTAGGAGGTTGAGCCTCAGTTGTGCGCAGGCAGAATGACTGAGAGCAGACTGGCTGATGGTGTGGAGGCTGAGGGAGAGAAGGAAGGGATGCGGGAGAAGGGGAGGGCTCTCCGCTCTTTTTTGGTCTCTGAGTCACAGTGACGATGATAGCTGACGACACAAACACACACACACCTTCATACACACACTCTCTCTCTCTCTCTCTCTCTCTCTCTCTCTCAGCTCCTCTCACATACACAACTGTGCAGAGTAGCAGGAGCAGCTCTGCACCCTCCTCATTTAGAGTCTCATCATCCATAACCTCTCCTTGAAGCTGGGCTTTCAAGGAGGGAGGAGGCTGTAGTTGGGGAAGACGGAGGACAAGGAGGAGGAGGAGGGGTGGTGTTGGCGGAGAAAATCCTCATCAGCTTTGCTGTAAGATTAGCTGCTTTCCAGTGATAACAGGCAGCATTACCACGAGGGAGATGATGCACTCCTGAGTCCAAAAACAGCCGATTCACGGTGATGGGGGGGAACTCAAGGTGGTGCAAAATGTACAAAATGATTCATAAAACAGTTCCCTAAAAGCAGAGTGTACATGGATGCTGCAGTCCTAAAGGTCAGAGATCACCCTCATTCATCGGGGTTAAACACCTCGACATGAGAGTCTACATAAACATACATTTTTTATTATTTTCATGGCCAGTCAAGTCTCTCTAGCATCACAAAAAGCAGCTGTCAGGATGAGTTTGTTCTATGAATGTTCAAAACCCATAAATCATTATGAATTCTGCTTTGGGGTGGATCTTCCCGAATCTGATGCAACGCTTCTGTTAGAAACCCTGCAGTGGGTGGTCACAGAGACTTTGACTGACTGAATAACCTATTACAGATCAGTGGTTTTGCAAGGACACTGAACTTTAAAAGATGCTATAAAGTTTCATTATGGGAGGCACTGAATAGGAGCCAGCCTTTAAGCTTAATTTAAAGGGCAGTCTTTCTTAAAACAGTAATCAGATGCCCATAGGAACATTTAAATTAGATTTTCTCCTGTTCACACTGGCCATTAAAAGATTCTTTCTTAACACGTGTACAATGTAAGACATGAGGAGAAAATCCAGGGTTTAAAAACTCTTAACTTCAGATAAACTGTATTAATGCCTTAATGGCCAGTATTAATATACATATGGGCACCTGCCTATTGATTTAAGACAGTGAGCCTCTAATCACAGGACTAAAGGCTGGGTGGGGTATTTTCCTCTCACAAGTCCCCAAAACTGTAAGGAAGTCACATTAAATCACTGGAGTGCCCCTTTAACTGAACCAATATGTATAGTGTACTAATCACATATTATGAATTGTTAAGGCTGAGAAACAAAGCGACAAAAACTACCATACCTTCTTTTCAGTATGAGGAAGGAAAAGATTCAGCCGTCCTCAACCTCGTCTTCTCCCCTTGACTCTCAAGGGTTGGAGTTAGATTTACAGCCTCAATTTATTTAGTGTAAGTAGCTGCGTGTTTCACAGAGGGGTGTTGTTTCAGTGTGATCAATATAGAGCCCTGGTGGTTGTTAATGAGGTGTCAGCTCTGGCCTCCACTTTCACCATTTACATATGAATCCTCCCATGATGCAATGAATCGGTTACTATACACAAGTACTGGAGACCGCAAACTCGGAGCCTGTTGCTGGCTGTTATAATGGGAAACACACAGCACATAGAGAATAGGGATTAATGTCTTCTGTTGTTTACAATGTTTACAAAAGAGGAATTATTATTTTATTATTAGAGGAATTATATAGAAAAGCCAAAAACTTTTCATTAAAGGTGATAAACTGTATTTGTTATTTCAGCACACATCTGTAATGTAATGTTAAATCCAAGGCTAAGCTCTCCGACTGTTAATAAGAGTTTGGAAAGCTTAGAGGTTGAGAGTTGTTTAAGCCTGCTGAGATCTAAAGAGCAACATTCCAGGTAAGAATAAAGCGCCTCTGTTGCCGTCTCCATGGAAACTGATCTAAATGTCTGCAGTAAAGTCCCACGGAAAACAACAGTGTTTTGGGATGCATAATATTGAGCTATAGGAGGACCCAGTGTAACCTTTCCAACATGAATGTAGACGATCGACCTGCTGTAAAAAGACTCATAAGAGCAACGTGGCAAAGCAATGGATGGATGGATAAATAAAACTAACAAAGATGAGTCAAACAGTTACTTTATTTATGTTCAGGTAAAAACATGAACCTGATGCAGTAAATTATTGCAGATCTTAGAAACCAGCACATGAACGATTGGGCCAGGAGAACATACAGTGGCGCCCTCCCCTGGCCACAGACTGCAGGTGCACACCACGGTTTGTTCCAAGCCAGCAGTGCAAAGAAAAAAAATAATAATAATCAACTACAGCAAGAAATAAAGACAATATAGAAAATTAAAAAAAAAAAAAAAAGGTAAAGCAGACAATCCCACCTCAAACAGGGTGTGAAACTGCATATAAACTTTATTCCATAAATGAACTTGAAATGCTATCTGGCCATAAAACGATAAAATACGACCAGCCAAATTTTGTGCCCAGCTACATTATGTGTTGAGGGTTGCTCAGAGCTTGGTCTACCAAGATAACCCTACACATCAGGTAGGGCCCAACAGAAAGACGCTAACTCTATCAAAATAAGAGCAAAACAAAATTTACCTGATCAACACATCGGTTACAACTCTTCGTTTGAGCTGAAGCTCTCTAGGATAAAGGAGGCCAGAACACAATCTCAACTTGGGTAGAAGGAGGGAAAAAAAAGATAATATGCGCTCATCACTACCCGCATTCAACCAACTGCAACTCTCGATTCCACAACTTGAAGCAAAGACACACACGGGGGGAAAGCCGAACCAAAATGCAACACACAAACTGGGGCCAATATAATACAGAACAAAATGCGAACAGACGAACTGAGGGGAAGAGACATGAGAACAAAGAGCTATTCTATCAAATGTGTAGAATGAGCAAAGTCTGCAAATTTGTCTGTACAAATGATCTTTGGAGCTAAAGTAAACCTAGCTTGCTCGATGGACCCCCCCCCCCCCCCCCCCCC